AAAAAAAAAACAAACGTGCATGTTGAAGTTTAATCTCTGGTTGAGGCTGTTGAGAGTGCAGAAGAACGGGTTGTGCAGACTGTTAAGTGTGAAATGTGAAGGTTAGTGAGTTTCCCCGTTAACCGACGAGCCTTCCCCGTGGGGCGAAGAGCATCTGGAGACCCCTCGTTCAGTGTTATCAGAGCTTGAGCCACTTTGACTGTGTTGGTCTGCTGAGGCAGCACTTGTTGAAGTGGAAATGGGTTTGGCTTTCTCTTTAAAGTCTGTGATTATTACAGTCAAGTCTCCAACCGTGACCTCTAGATGCTGGGCGCTGCTCCTGTCTATGTTTTTTAATCTGGGCCTGGTGAAGAGACAAACAGAAGCAGGATTTGAAAACTGCTTGGTGGATACTTAATAAATTCAGTGGTGGCAACAAGAGCAGAGACTCATTCATTCATTCATTCATGAATTCATTCATTACCTCAACTTTTTATGGCTTTTCTTTTTCAGTGTTGGTTCTTTATCACTCTTGTCTTTCTCAGATTTTTCTTTCTTCTCCTTTTTTGGGTGTGTGGGTGGTGCAAACTGCTGGTTTACTTGCTGTGCAACCAGCTGAGAAACAGGCCGTGGTTTTCTGAAAGAGACAAAAAAAAGAAAGTGAGATGGCCTCATAGTTAAATTTAAATCACTGAAGCTGTAAGTAGGCTGAGCTTGTGGCTTGAACTGACAACTGTGTAACTGTTCAATATGACCAAGAGAAATGAGGCTTTTGACTGTCTTAACACAGCAGTCATATATACAATGGAACAGGTTTTGCGTGCTGTAATCATTTCTCCTGGCCATGAAGAGACCCCTTATTAATGCAGTTCCAATACAAGTGATGGGCGACAGAATCCACAGTCCCCATTCTGTGTAAAATACTTTATTGAGTTTATCTGAAGTTAATGAAGCTTCAGCAGTCTGTGTTTGTTAAATCAAGCGGGTATCTTCCAAAGTTAGTGATTTTACTGTCCACCCACTGCAGGAAACTGCAAATTCTGTAGTAATGGACTACAATAGGGCAAAAATACCCAAGTCAAAGTCCCGGCAACAACTGTCAATTTTGACCGGACACAAGAATACTTCATTTTTTTTCCTCCAGATTTTATTCATTCAACTGGTGATATGCATTTTCTGCATTCCCCCCTCACTTTAATAAAAGTTTTAATGGCCTCCAATGGCCATGAATAAAACAAAAGTGGGGAAATCTGTAAACAGGAAAAATACTGAGGACCTGACCACAAACTACAGTCTCTGAAATATCCATAAAGTTATGAAATCAATAACAACTGAACATTAAACCCGTTGATGAAGATGTATCGCAGTGCTTAATAAACCTGCAAGTGGGTGTAAAAGTGTTTCTAAAAACATAATGCGATGAACATCAAAACTAATCCCTCGGTGTTCTCCTATTCGGTTTCAAATGAACAGCCACAGTTATTCTTACCGAGTTGAAGTCCCCTTCCTAACATCACACATCAAGCACTTGAACGCCTCAGCGCTGTTCCTGAACGTGCAGACGCTACAGTCCCAGTACCCATCGTCGGAGGAGGGCTTGGGTTGTCGCTTTGGCCTTCAGATATAAAAACAAAACAAAAACACAGTAATAACGTCACATTTTCAACAAGCGAACGCATTTCAAAGAAACCTTGTTAGATAAAGACTGACCGAACGGGAAAGACACGAGTCTAAGTCAGAGGGCAGTCATTAAGGAAGAGGGAGCTTTCAGTTTCCACAGTTGCACGGTGTTAAAGCAGCAACCCCAGCCGCCATGAACAGTTCAGTAAAACAGCTCCATCCATTCACCGAGCTTTCTGTTACCAAGCGGCCCCATAAAGTCTTCATTCAGACACACTAGCGACAGGTTTACCTTGTGGGGCTCTTCTTGTCTCCCATTTTAAGAAACGTGGACTCGCCGGAGTGGAAAAGGCTCAGTGTTACAGGTGAAATTACGCATTTAGCTGCTACTCAGCTGTCGCGGAAAGTCCTCTCGAAGGACGGTCACGTGATGCGGATTCACCCAATGGCGTTCAATGTAATCACAACAGAGACGGCAAATGTGACACAGCGATGATGAAAGGCGCTTTGTAGGCTGTACAGCGTGGGGCGAGAGAGTGGGTGAGCACGTACACCGGCTTTAATGAGGGATGGGAAAGTGAGAAAATGTGCGCGAATACTGGAATACCCTACTAACGTGGGTAGGATGGGATTTGGCACAGCGTCGACACTGATTCATAGAGATTAGTGTGGGATGTGTTCTCTTTCTTTTCTGTGTTTGAAGACTTGAGTCGTGTTTTTTACTGGCTACATACTTTACTTGTGTATTTCCCACACAGGGAACTTAATTGTCACATTGCAACAAGTTACATATGCATAGTATAGATAGGTCATCTTTAAAAACACTAGAATAATATCTTCATTATGAGCATCTACAATATGAAATACTAAAAACAAAAATAAAGTGGTACTATGTTCAGTAAGGTAAGAGATATTCCTTTATTGATCCCCCTTAGGAGAAATTCAGGTTGACACAGCAGCAATAGGGCAAAACAGAACAAAGAATATCACAACTAATAATATTACAAAATACAAAATATAATAGAAACAAAACTATAAATCAAAGTATATACACTATGCATTGTTCAAGTAGGACATGGAGTGCAAAATATGAGCAGAA